CAAAATGCCATTCAAGTGAAGAAATTGTACATCCCCTTTACCGATTATTATATAAACAAATATATATTCCTCCCCCACCCCCTTTTCTTTTTTTAAAAAAAAATTTTTTTTTTCAACATTTATTTATTTTTGGGACAGAGAGAGACAGAGCATGAACGGGGGAGGGGCAGAGAGAGAGGGAGACACAGAATCGGAAACAGGCTCCAGGCTCTGAGCCATCAGCCCAGAGCCTGACGCGGGGCTCGAACTCACGGACCGCGAGATCGTGACCTGGCTGAAGTCGGACGCTCAACCGACTGTGCCACCCAGGCGCCCCCCCACCCCCTTTTCTAAAGATAACCTCATGTTGACCTTCACTTTGTATTCAGACAGCAACCCACTAGCTGGCTAGCTTATTCACCTTTAAAATAATATGCTAGAAGTGGCAAGAACCAAATATATTCTGGATACACTGCGCTGAATCTGGAGAGACCATGGAAAATTAAGCTCCGCTCTGGCTCCCGTGGGCAAAGTCTGTTTGCCTGAGAGGGTGCCAGCCAGTAAGAGGGTGAGCTCTGGGTTAGACCGGTTGGGCTGATTGCATCCTGACTCCACTACCCATGCCCTGGGCAAGTCATGTAACCTGTTGATGTAGAGAATGTTGGGGTTTGGAGCCAACGTCCAAGAAAGAATTCTTGAAGATGTCTTTGGTGCAAAAAGGTGATTTTATTAAAGCACAGGGACAGGACCCATGGGCAGGAAGAGCTGTCCCAGGATTGTGAGCAGTGACTGATTCTATACTTGGGATCTGGGGGGGGGAGGTAAAGGCGAGGGAAGTTTCCAGAAGGACTTTCATATGCTAAAGAAGATTCCATGGATCCCGGAGGCCTAGCAGTTGTCAAGCTAAGGCGGTGTCTTCCTCTAGCAAAGCATTAACATTAAGACAGTTGAGAGATCCTGGAGGAATGTTACACTCTGCCTGTCGCAAGTATTTGTCAGTGGCTGGCTTGCAGATTATAAGAAAATTTAATTTTGGCTACCACTTCCTTCTGTCTTTGTTTCCCACGCGTCTTCACGTCGGTGGAGTGCATGTGATAATAATTTCTTTCACCTAGGGTTGTAATAAGTAAATGAGATGGTTTCCAAATACTGAGCCTAGTACCAGTAAAGAAGAAACAGCCCGTTTTGCTCTTGTTATAATTAATAATAGTGATTGCGCAGAATGATTGTGGTAATATACCTGTTTCATAAAATTTACCCCCTTAGCCATATTAGTATTCGGCGTAGTCCCATCTGTGGGCAATGAATCTCCAGAAATTTTCCTCATGTAAAAGTGAAACTATATCCATTGAACAACTAACTCCCCAATTCCCCCTCCCCC